AAGGAGGAACGGGTCGGAGATTAAATGAGCAGCTGGTGACACAGGTCATCTTACTGGAAGAGCTGGCAAGTCACTGGGAAGTGTGGTTTTCAGTTCTGTTTCACCGATCCCTGAAATAGATGTTTGGACCTGCCGTGCTTCAGTTTTTTACTTTTATTTTCTATTTTGAATACCAGTGGTGGAAGAAGTACTTGGAATCTTTATTTAAAAGTAGCCATACTGCAGTGTAAAAATACACTGTGTTACAAGTAAAAGTCATTCAAAATGTTACTTTAGTAAAAGTACAAAATACACTGAAAGTACTAAAATGACTCATTATGCAGAAGGGCACAGTTCACATTAATGTATATCATTGTTGGACTATAATTATTATTAATGTGTGTTATTTTGTACATTGCATTTAATGTTGAAGCTGGTAAAGGTGGAGCTAATGTTAAATACCTTGTTATGCTTAGAATTTGCAGTACTTTACATAGTGCTGGATAGCTTGGGAGTTTCTTATGATTAGACTGCATTCTGTCTTATTAATCTCATTGTACTGCAGCAGTGCAATAACTGTCAATTATTAGCCTGATAGACCATGGGAAGGAGGAGGAGCACCGTTCAGCAAACACAATGAATTTTAAATAACAGTGGCCTTATGGTGTTTTGTAATTTTGTCTTGTGATTCTCAGGTAATGAAAGTGCTAAATAGTTTTATTCCCTTTTACAAAATGATAAAAAATAATCAAAGTAACATTTTATACTCATGTTAATTTTGTTCAGGACTGTCGCACACTGATGTGTAAATATTTAAGTACAGGTGAGAGGCTGTTTAAACTATGGACACACTCACTGAACCTTTCTTTTCTTTGTTTACTACCAGGTTGAAAATAGTGAAAATCTCCTTTAAGTGCAAACAGTTCTTCATCCAGCTGAGAAGAGAGCCGGTAGGTGTTTTTGTCTTTCGTGGGCACTTTACATTGACCTACATTTTTTCTTGGAGACTTATCCTAACCTTGACAGTAACCACTATTTGCCTAAACCAAGACGACCTTAAACCAAGACATCACATCAATGTAAAATTCTATGATTTCCATGCCAGCATGTCGTCCCCATGAGAACGGCCAGTGTGAGTCATACCAGGCACGCACACACATTCAAATCCATTCTTAATTCTGAACCACCACATCTCTGCCACCATTGTGCCTAGTTTGTAAACAGATTAAGGATTTTAGTCTGTGTGAGTGTATTTTGTACACACTGGGTATATAAACATGTACTGCATACAGTATGTGTATAATGGAGTCAGATTAACCCCCTGCTGTCTGCGTCCTGGTTGGCTCTGCTCTTATACTTCACTGTGTCCCTGTTTCTGACAGGTTTATCTCTTTGTGTTCACAATGCATCAACTATGCCTATAGACCAGTCGATGGAATTGTCAACTTGATGTTTATTTCCACTACAAACACAGTTACTTAATAGTTAAATTATACATTTCCTTCCCATCCTTCCTCTCTCATTTCCCACCCTAACATTCTCTCTCTAGATGCGTCTAGAGAACTGCACTGGCCTTGAACATGGCCAAATTTTAATTTCACTAATAACAACTAGAATAAATTCAGTAAACTGATTGCATTTGATATTGTAGGTTTATTTTTAAACCAGTAACCTTTTGTACAAACTCTGCTTATGCCTATTTCTAGGAACACCAGGAATACTGATGTAGAATGGGTTTAAACTAGTTAGTGGAGATATTCTCTCTATCCGAAACATTGCGGAGGGTGCCAGGCAGTTCACTGGCCTTTAGTGGGTGTGGGGTGATCTACTACACGTACATCAGGAAAACCAACTGCTATGGGCGTGATGAGATCTGGTGATATTAAAACCTGATAGTATTTACTGACGAGGTGAAAAGCTGTCTAGCAATATCAGTACATAACGAAACCGGAGCAGCAGCCAGCATGACGGAGTGTGAGGGTGAAATTACAGTAGAAGGTGAATTTTTGCCCCGTCAGTCCAGGGGAATATTGAAAAACACACGTAGGGAAGCTGATCAGTCTGACCAGTGTGATTAGTGATCCAGCTGATTCATTCTGAGTATTTATTGGTTTCAACCAGTGCTGCTGAGGCAGCAAGAGAGGTTCAGGAGGAGAGAGCTGAAGATAGAGATATAGGAGGAGGGCAGCAGTCAGCATGCTGCTGCTGTGGGAGGGCTGGTGCACAAGGGACAGGTCAGATGAACAGCACAACAGCATTACTATAAACTTCATAAAAACACGGAAAAGAACACGAGGACACAGCTGCTGTAACTTGCTGCCACTCTGCGCGGCGCAACAAAGAACACTTAGTCTTAAAATAAACAGTTACATAAAGGCAACAAAGCATTAGAACTGATACACACAAGTAGCGTCATCAGAACGTCACATTTTACAGCACAAATAAGCAAATCAAAGGCACCTAAAAACAGGGCAAAGCAGCACTGGAGAGAATCAGGAACAGCAGTAGAGACTAAACAACCAGGAAATCAAGAACAATCGAATATTACTCACACAATTTATCCCACAATCGGGGAAAGAAAGCTGTGTTTCAGCCATAAGGATCTCTGAGCAACTACTCAAAAATACCTAAAGCAGGGCAATGTGCAGTATTTGAGAGAGATCAGGAACAAGATATTACACATGAGCCTATTTACAATGCATTGCAATATTTCAGCTCCTGGGGGTGAAATGCATTGTAAATAGGCTCATGTGTAATATCTTGTTCCTGATCTCTCTCAAACACTGTACATTGTAGTTGCTCAGAGATCCTTATGGCTGAAACACAGGTTTCTTTACCCCATTGTAACGTTCCTTCTTACACTTAATTTAGAGAATAAGCTTCACAATTAGAATGTAATTCTGTGGGAAACACTGCAGCTTCACTTAGAAGTTAGAAGCTCATGCACAGTTCGTGCACAGTTGTAAGGTCTGAAGAGACTCGTGTGAAATCATACAGGAGAGAAGCCAGTCAGATGAGTTTGTGGCAAAACCTTTTGTCTTTTACTGCATATGATAATTCATACTCAAAGTAAAACTGAAGTGACGGCCATTACAAGATATTTAGTGAAAACATTTTGAAATGCACCTGCATTGTGTTGCATTTTGTGACTTTCAGTCAAATAAAGGACTTTTTCCAGTCATGTTTTGTCAATGAAGATTTTTTTTTTTTAATAGTGTTTTTAAATATGGTTTCGTATTTGTGAAACCAATATCTTGTATTGTCTCATCTCATGAGCTACGTGTATCATCACACCCCTACCAACTGGTTATCTGAATACAGGTTTAAAAATCCTTTAAAAAAACTGGGCAGCATGGTGGTGTAGTGGTTAGCACTGTCACCTCACAGCAAAAATGTTTGGACCTGCTGTCTGGCTGGCTGTGTGCCTGTGTGGGTTTTCTCCAGGAGACTCTAAAATTGTACCTAAGTGTGAATGCGAGTGTGAGTGGTTGTCTGTCTGCGGACCTGTCCAGGGTGTAAACTCCATCTCACCCAGCTTCTCACACTACCAAGTCAAATAAGTTACTGTTGAATTTCCCACACTATGATCTGTCAGTAATACTGGCCACCTGCCCTCATCATTCTTCCTGCACACAGACTGAGACACGGGAGATGCTGCTGGGATTCAACATGGTCAACTATCGGGCCTGTAAGAACCTGTGGAAGGCCTGCGTGGAGCACCACACCTTCTTCAGACTGGAGCAGCCCGTGCCACCACAGAAGAACTTCTTCGCTCACTATTTTACCCTGGGCTCCAAGTTCAGATACTGGTAGGAACAAGATAACTTGGAGACAATCAACAGAGTGAAAAAAGTCTTGCTTTGCCTTTCAAGCTTTGACAGATTGCCATGTACACACACTGTACACAGACCAGACTTTTCATTTCAAGAAACCATCAACAGAAGTACATGTTTGTTTGGAAGTTGAGGATTGTTGTTTCACTTTGGTTTGAAAGGCTGAAACACTGAAAAGCCAGTGGTTTCCTCTCATGATACCTTACCCCAGAAAACCGCCGCTTAATTATTCCTGGTTTAGCTCTAAAAAAGGAGAAATTGTAATGTGTTTGGCCTTGAAACCAGCCTTTTAAGTTCTGCAGGGATCATTTGTGTGTTTTTGTGTTCGTGTGCAAGTCACTTCACAAACCCACACAGCTGCTACCTCTCACTTCTCATATAAAACACAGAACCATTTTTCTCCTTGTTGGATTATGATATCAGTAGCATTTTTGTTTCTTTTTTCCTATAAAGTCTGAGTGAGAGAGGAACAGAGAGTTGAAAGGTCATGTGATGCATTATTGAGCAGCAGTGTGAGCAAGCCTGGCTCAGATCTATCCATTTATTTATTTATTTATTTATTTAGATTGTGTGGGTGGGTGTGTTTTTGCCTCTGAGATAAAGTATTAACTGACTTTCCAGTAAAGACACATTTTTGCTTCCATGTTATTAATAGTGTGTCAGTAAAGTGAATATACTGTTTTGTGCTTGAACTGGTTGGCAGGCTGTGCTCAACTCTCAATGCTGATGTTAGTTTAGATTTTTTTTGGAAGTATTTAGGGACTGATGACACCGAAGTAGCTCCTAGAATAGCAGTGTAAAATGGCATACAGTATTACTGTTGCCCTGTGTCTTATTTTTGGGAAACGGTGCATGTAAAATGATCTTGGCTTTAATAATCAGTTTTTGCAACCTTGCTAAAGCCAAGATTTACAGATTTTTAGCCTTTGGTTAATTTTTTACTTTTCTGTTTGTGTCTCTAGTGGGAGGACCGAGGTGCAGTCTGTGCAGTATGGAAAAGAGAAAGGCATCAAGGACAGAGTATTTGCCAGGTAATGGGCTTGTCTTTCTTGGTTAGTTGAATATAGCCCATACAAGCTGCTCAGGGTAGATAAACTTTAAAGGGGCTTTAATGTACTGTATTACTACTGTTGTTTTCATTATGGACACATTCGAATTAGTGCCTTGTTCTGAGCAGGTCTCCCAGCAAGCCATTGGCCAGGAAGTTGGTGGGCGGAACTGACTGAACATCCTGTCAGATGAGAGACTTGAGACCCAGAGCTTGCCCACTCGCTCACCACCTGGGACGCCCAATCAGTGAGTCCGATTTTAAAGTTCATACCAGGCACAGCCATTTCTAGGTGAGCCAGGCAGTCGCTTACTGTGACACCAAGTTGTCAAAGAGGATGAAGAAATATTTTAATGACTTAAATGAAAAACTGCTCATGATGCAGCTGATACTGAGAGGACGCCACAGACCACAGGCGCACAGTAGAAGGGAGGTTGGTGTTGATGCTCACTGTCATACAACCTGCTGGCTGCCATTGCAAACCTGCGATTCATTTGCTCACACCACTGTGCAAAAAGAACTTTGATAACCAGATGACCTATGTTCCATGTAGGCATCCTAGTATTATCCATAGTGGAATAAATCATGGTCAGGCTAAGGAATATATTGCTGCAGGCGTGTCCACAACTTGAGTCATGTGGTCAGTGACTCAGTAGATACAGTCATGTGAAAAAATTAGGACACCCTTTGAAAGCATGTGTATTTTGTAACATGTTTTAATATATGGTTATTTAATTTCAATTTTAACAATACAGAGAGATTAAAGTAATACAACTAAACCAGTAAAACTGAAGAAAAGTCTTTTCATGATCTTCTGTAAATGTAATTCTACAAAAATGCCTATTCTAACTGAGGGAAAAGACAGCACACCCTCACATGTATGCCCTCTTAAAATGGCTCAAATCACACACAGGTATATCACACCAGGTGCACATAATTAGTAGATCGTTACTCAGCATTTTGAATGAGGCTTGCCCCATCTAAACCTCAAACATTTAGTTTGGTGTGCTCCTGACTGTTGAAGTGAGAGTGAGCACCATGGTGAGAGCAAAAGAGCTGTCAGAGGCCTTCAGAAAAAACATTGTAGCAGCCTATGAGTCTGGTAAAGGATTTAAAAAGATCTCAAAAGATTTTGAAATCAGCCATTCCACTGTCCGGAAGATAGTCTACAAGTGGAGGGCTTTCAAAACAACTGCCAACATGCCCAGGTCAGGTCGCCCCAGCAAGTTCACCCCAAGAGCAGACCGCAAGATGCAAAAAAGGGGTCTCCAAAAACCCTAAAATATCATCTCGAGATCTACAGCAGGCTCTGGCTACTGTTGATGTAGAAGTGCATGCCTCTACAATCAGAAAGAGACTGCACAAGTTTAACTTGCATGGGAGGTGTGCAAGGAGGAAACCTTTGCTCTCTAAGAGAAACATCAAGGCCAGACTGACATTTGCCAGAGAGAATGTTGACAAAGACCAGGACTTCTGGAATAATGTTCTTTGGACAGATGAGTCCAAAATTGAATTATTTGGACACCAGAGCAGAGGACATGTTTGGCGTAAACCAAACACAGCATTCCAGGAAAAGAACCTCATACCAACTGTGAAGCATGGAGGTGGAAGTGTCATGGTTTGGGGCTGCTTTGCTGCAGCAGGACCTGGTCAGCTCACCATCATAGAATCCACCATGAATTCTACTGTGTATCAGAAGGTGCTTGAAGAACATGTGAGACCATCGGTTAGAAAATTAAAGCTGAAGCGGAACTGGACCATGCAACATGACAATGACCCAAAACATACTAGTAAATCAACCAAAGACTGGCTGAAAAAGAAGAAATAGAGAGTCCTGGAATGGCAGAGTCAAAGTCCAGACCTGAATCCCATTGAGATGCGTTGGGGTGACTTGAAAAGGGCTGTACATGCAAGAAACCCCTCAAACATCTCACAGCTGAAACAATTCTGCATTGAGGAATGGGGTAAAATTCCCTCAGACCGATGTCAGAGACTATTAGATGGCTACAAGAACCCAAAATACACATGCTTTCAAAGGGGGTCCTATTTTTTTCACATGACTGTAAAACAAAAGATAAGTCTATAAGCAATGATCCACACCATGAAATTAAAGTAATGTCATTGATGTCCAGCGGCAGGCAAATCCAGGCAGTTTCTTGTTAATATAAAGCATCATTTTATGTCTGTTCCTGGTCCATTCCTGTGGTTCACGATACATTAATTACATACAACTTGAAGTGTTTTGATATGTATGTGTGCCATTGTGATGTCCGCATCAGTACCATTATCAAAACAATACTTTGTTTGTCAGGAACTCGCTGTTTGTACAAGAGGGCACACGACTACGTCCGTCGTCTGTTGGCCACCTGGTCGATCACGTGATCCACGCGTCACCTAGTCTGCCTGTCTTCTCTTCCAATCACAAGTCAGCATCATCTACGCAGGCCAACAGCATCAGCCTGGACTCGACACTGTGAGTCTCAAGCACCTTGATGCTTAATAAAATTAGAATTAGGATTGTCTATGGGGAAGTTGTCGTTCTCATTCTCATCTTCCCATTTAATCTGCATTTAATCCTGATGTTAAGTTTTGCTCATCAGTGTTATCGCCACCCTGTCTGACTGTATTGCTGAGTTGACTGGTTTTTACAAGTGTGTCCCAGTGTCATTGAGCTGGGCCTCAGTGGAAAGATAAACCCTTTGAAAAGCAGCCTGTAAAATGTGTTTTAGTGGAGGGGCTGTATATTAGAGTGAACAAGGAATTAGTGTGTGGATGTGTCTGTATGTGTTTGCTGTATGTCGTTACTGTGCTCGCGCTAGAAAATAGTAGGTAGTAAAGTTCCACGAAGCTGTTTCAGAACCTCTGAGTAAAAGTGAAGTGAGTTGTACACGAGCTTTACATCTCAACATCAGCATATATCAGCAGACCAGTCTTAAGAATTGTGTGATATTAGATGTTAGTAAAGGAAAAAGCATCATCAGATTTTTCTATTGTGCAACAATTAATTCTGAAAACAGAAAACACTAGTATTTGGAGAGACTGTCAGTAAACGTCTGTAATCACATACTTCACCTTATGATCCTTATTACACATATGATCTCAAAGTGTAGCATGGCCTTTGGTGTTTGTTCCTTAGAAACTCTCACAAAGTTAAGGTGGAAATGCTTTACAAAGATGTTGAATGTTAAAACTGTGACCATTCATTTTGCGTACTCACCCAGTAAAGCTTGGTAGGAGCTATATGAGTCTGTCTGACCTAGTACAGTGCTCAGATTTCTTAAAAATATGTTAAAAATGCATAATAATGTTCAGTGCTAATGTTTTAAGAGTGTTTGCAAATAAACCAGCATGATCAAACACCAGCGAGCCAAAATGATTGTTCTAGCTAGAACCATTTAGCTACATTGAGCTCAAAAAGAGTCATGTGCTGTGAGGCTGGACTGGTTTGTGCTTGTGTCCTTTGAACGAGGCAAGAGATGTGTCATGGATACAGTATGGCATCCATGTTCTCTTCACACTGTTGAAGTGTGCGCGCACCTGGTATTACTGTCACTGTGGCCGTTCTCGTAGGGACCAGATGCTGGACCCCACCATGTAAATCACTGAACTTTAGGGTGACGACTTGGTTTGAGGTTAGTTGTTAGGCAAGTAGTGGATTTGGTTTGAGTTAGGGTTAGTCTACAGAAAATACATGTGTATCAGTCAATGTACAGTCACCACTAGGAAAACAAACCTGTGTGTGTGTGTGTGTGTGTGTGTGTGAAATAAAGCGAATAGAGTTGGGGAGAGAGAGAGAGACCGTTTCTCAGCTGGAAATCAGAGTGGTTAAGTAACATTGCAGTGGTGTTTCTGCTGCCAACAAAGCTGCACATACTGTACACACACAAACACACACACACACACACACAAGCTAAGTTGTTGGCTCATCACTCTGTTACAGAGCCAAAAGATTACACACACATTATCTGTGCATGTTATTTTTAATGTTTTTTATACATATTTCCAGTAAAAAAAAAATCTAATTTTATGCTGAGACAATAAGTTTCACTTTCAAGGATTTTGCAGGCTATCAGCCTTTTTCAGCATCTTTTCTCTCAGTTTGTTGACAGATGTGGTGCAAATGTGGAAGCAAAGCTTCACCTCACTGTGCATCCTCATATTAGAGTGCAGTCAGTCTACGTGCTATTAATCTCATAGCTACGTTCACTTTGTGGCACAACCTATTTGGCTCAATGTTAGTATGAATAAGTTTAAACTAAACTATTTACATGATTCGCTAACTTGATAATGTTCTGTAAATTGGGTTCATTTGCACTCTGAAGCACCCAGGCAGACAGAACTTAGTGAAAATATCCCAGCTTTAGAACTTTAGCTTTCTTGCCTAAATATTTTTTCCCACTTCATGGAAAAGATTAGTTTTTGCTTTTCTGGATCAAGAAAAACCCTGAAGATAAGAAAAGAAAGCCTTTAGGGTCTCAGATCTGACAGTAAACTGGACCTTCCTAATCTCAGATATTAGTAATCAGTTACAAACATTCAGAAAATAGTTTGACTGATTTGACTGAACTAGATTATTGTCAAAAAGAAATCATTTCTTTTAACTTTGGTGACTGCAGTTTCCTCCTTTGGCAATCCCATTATGATATCTACTTAAAAGATATGGTCCCAGTCCAGATTACGTTTTAGTTTTGGGGATATACCAGTTCTAGATCTAGTGTGAAATAACTCCCTTTTTGCCCAACATAGATTGGCTTCTGCCTTTTCTTCATGATGTGAATCACTATCCCTATTCCTAAAGATTTGTATACAATGACTCTAATATTTCAACTGGATGACTCCAGCCCATAATTCAGATTTTCCCAAAGTTCGTCCAACGATTTCTTCCAGTTAAAACTAAATTAGAATCTGCTTTCTCTCCCACAGGCCCACAGTTATACACTGTCAGTTCTACATGTAAACAGTACAACAAAGCCATAACCTTCGCACTCTTGTAATGATGTTTTTAGCTGCATAGAGTGAAAATTATCTGTTTAGCAAACCACATTATCTTACGGTGATGGTTTTTAAAACATGTCAGAGTAAAAAGCTACAATTATACAATACACCACAACACAATATTACATCCAGCTGTGGGGTATGTTGTAATAAGTCACTTTACATGCTATAATCAGCCCTTCTTCAAAGGGGTGAAGCAAAGACTGGCTTTGGAAAATAATTTAGTGTTAAAACATTTGGGTGCACACCAAAAGTGTCTTTAAATGCATATTCAGGTGGTTCAGTGCAACGTGGTGCTTAATAGCAGTTTGTTTTGGCTTCTCCTGTGTGTGCATATGATTCTTTGTCACTGTGGACGTTCACTTAGTTCTGTTCATGCTTTTAAAATGTCTGTAAAGCAGAAGAAGAAATGTAGGATTTGTTTACCATTAGAGACGGAAAAACAAGCAGGGCTTAGTGTGATGTTCAGCATGGACACGCTTTAAATGTCCTTACCCAAGGCGCTGGATAGGTTGTGATAAGGAATGACATCCATTTCACTCCTTTGAGGAAATATATTGATGGTGTGCTGTTTCAGCTCCGGCCTGCTGTGCACTGCCCTCCTTCCGAAAGCTGGAACAGATTTTGACCCGTGTGTGTGTGGTGCCACCAGTAGCAGGCAGCCAGAACAAAGGCACTGCTCTCTGACTGGTGCTTCAGCCCCTAAGCAGTGCCTATACACAACTACACAAACATTTCCAGATACAGGCATAGAGTGGAATGACTGGGTTTTACCCCCAGAGAGTGAGCCAGGATGCTGCTGAAAGCCTTACCTGACTGACTGATGTTTCACCATGCACAGTGACTGGATGATGGAGGGGGCTGTTTTCCTTCCTCTTGCAGCTCTTTTATTGAGGTTAATGCATTGTGACTAACACATTGCTATTCAGCCCTTCTGTCTCTTGCGATCTTGGCCTCCCCCGTCTGTCTTTCTTCCACCATATTCATATGCAGGAACCCCTTTAGCTAGACCATTACTTCTGTCTTCCTCTGTACTTGTAAGTTTGTGGCATTGTTTTACCTTCTTTAAAATATTTTTCCACTGACAATTAACAGATGCTAAACAGCAAGTGTGGAGATTCATTTTAGTTTTGCTCTGTAATGGCGACAGGTGTAATCATGTAGACTAGTGATTCAGCTCCTCGGTCGCAGACATTTCTCCCCTGCTCTTTCCTTATTTCTTTCTCTGACTTTGTCTCCCTTTCCTCAGGTCTCCAGAGGGGGTAGATGGCCAACCTCCAGCTCTTCCCCCAAAGCAATTGAGCAGGAAGACCTTGAGTCAGATAATCCAGGCTCACTCCCAGCAGAGTCTCCTGGATAACCATCTCAATGAGATGTATGATGTTCCCGTCAATGCTGACAAGACCACGGTAAGTGTGGGCCCAAGACACTCTCTATATAAAATTACCAAAAAGTTGCATAAAAATCTTGATAAGAAAATGTTAACATCAGTAGTTATTTGTAGATTCCCTTGAAATTGTAAAATTAAACACTTAAAACATATTTTAAGGAATTCTGAAAAGTGTGTTTTTCTTTGTAAAAACATCTTTGGCAGGCTCATATTAGAAGAAAAGTAGCACTTATGAGGCAAGTAGATGAATTTAATGTATGTGCTTTCAACTGTATTCTTTCAGCTGAATGGAGTAGTACCTCATGATAATCTGGTTCTGATCAAGATGAGACCTGATGAACATGGACGCTTTGGCTTCAATGTCAAGGTGCGGGCCAAACAGGAAAAATCTGTTGACAGTCTTTCTGTCTTTGTGGCTTTTGTTTTTACTGCTTTTTTATTCTAAGTAGTCAAACATTTATGGCCCACAACCAGATATGTGCATCACGACCTGTACACTCTGCCTAAAATATCAGCTTCCTTTAAAAAAAAAAGTCAGTTTTGCAATCCTTTCCTCTTTCTACTGTGTGTCTCCAGGGTGGAGCTGACCAGAAGATGCCTATCATTGTGTCTAGAGTGGCTCCGGGAACATCAGTAAGTCAGCAGCACTTCATGTAGTAGATGCAATTGAGGGAATTGGGATTTACCCTTGGACAGGGACTATGCTACTGTGCTTCATCCAGATGCTTCTTTTCCTTATGTCTTTGTCCTGCTGACATAAGATGCGTGGAGTCATTAACTGCACCTGAAGCATCCAATCACTAACTGATTTCTGATGGTCCATAAATGACTTTTGTTAAGGAGGGTCTCTAGTTTCCTCACTCATTGCTCCTCCAGGCAGCCTCCTCGCTCCTCGGAGCAATAAGAGCTGTAGGACATCCTTCAAAATGGTGGACCGGAATGACTTCCGGCTCAAATAAGGAAATTGGGGTTTACCCTCATTATTGTTTTCAATTCTTAATGTTGAGTATTAGTGTCTAAAAAAACAGCCATACAAATAGATCCAGTTTCACAAATAACCTTAAGGTTAGCGTTCTCATATCTGAACATATTTCCACCCCCACCGGAAACATTTTGTTGACCTTATGTTGTATATGTTGCCAAATTGTCAATGACTTGTGACTAAAACAGGCAAAGAAAAAAAAACCTTCCTTCCTTCCTGTTTTCCTCCCTCTGTTCAGGCTGACCTGTGTGTGCCCCGCCTTAATGAGGGTGACCAGGTGGTCCTAATTAATGGACGGGACATCTCTGACCACACCCATGACCAGGTGGTCATGTTCATCAAGGCCAGCTGTGAGAGCCACTCTGGGGAGCTCATCCTATTGGTCAGACCAAATGGTGCGTTGTTCCCACTTGTCCTTCCTACTGTGTTTTAACATTAATAAACTGATAAGGGAGACACTGATTCCGTCATTATTTAATTTGAATTTCAATCTGGTAGGTTATGCAGCTATAAGCCATATTTATACTCTTTAGTCTAAGTTGGTCATGTTTGACAAACAGAATCCTAAACCAAAGTCCACTTAGTAGCTTTTTTTGCTAGTTATCATCATGTGACCAAAGTGTGGAATGGCCTGTATTAGCAAGCTAGTTTTGTCACAGTTACTGGGTGTAAAATATTTAGTAACCACCAATTTTTGTGTGACCTATGGAGACTTTATGGGGAAAAAAAACATGGCAGCCTCAATGACGGGAGACCTGCTTCTATGTAGATATAAAAAATAATGCAGCCCACTTGTGAATCTGCTCACAAGCCTCAGTTCTGCTTTTGCTCTGTTTTGGACTGGTCAGTCTCACTTTTGTTACTGCAAATGAGAAGTTGTAGATTTTTGTCAGAAGACGGCAAAACATTTCTTTGAATCAGCATCACTGAAGCAGGGAGGGGGGCTTTTTAAAGGTGATGAAACATGGAAGTTCTTGGTATTTTAACTGGGTCAGAGAGGGATTTATGCATTGTCTTACATCAGAGCAGGTGTACGGTGAGACTGCATCAGTGGTACGGAATGCCTTTAACACTTTGTCGATTGTCTGCTGTGAATTTCCTTCCATTTTATAATATTTGCCTTGGCAGTGTTTACCTTGTTTGTTTTACTTTTGTCTGGTTGTTTTTAAGTTCTCTTTGGTTTTATTACATTTGTCTATGTAATGTAATGTTATGATCTGATATGTCTCAACCATTTGTTCTGATTATGTGCCTGTAACATTTATGTAGACTGTAACATATTTCTTTCCTCTCTCACTCAGCTATCTATGACGTGGTGGAGGAGAAGGTGGACTTGGAGCCAGATTTTCAGTACATCCCTGAGAAATCCCCTCAGGACCCCACCCAGCTGGACCAGCATGCTTTGAGGGACTCTATGGTCACACTGAAGGACACCCTGAGCAGTGGAGCCATGCTGGCACAGTTTGATGTAAGGAGAAAATCAGAGATGTCCTCATAAGCAGAGTCCAGGCATATATGCTCGCACAGAGATAGATGCATACATGTGCAACGCTAGGTTGGCGTCGGTAGTCTTGGATCGATTGATAGTTTTACATTGTTGGTGGAGTTATCACCGACGTCTTTCCTCCTCCACATTCCAGAAACTTCCTGTTCTCTATCATCATCATCACTTAACAGCTTCCCGTTTAAGTGCTGTGTTGTGGTATTAGTGAAACACAAACAACTAAATGATCACAGGGACAGTGCATGTGAGAATGCATACAGGAATTTGTGTATGACATGAACAAATAGGGCAAAGGAAGTAAAACCTTCCTGTTATCCCAGCTTTAATATAAATTTGTGTTCCTTTTTTACAGCAATTGTACAGGAAGAAGCCGGGGATGACCATGCTGTGTGCCAAATTACCTCAGAACGTGTCCAAAAATCGCTACAGAGACATCTCCCCTTGTACGTCACTGCACACTGCTGCCTGTTTCTCTTGGCTTGTGTATGCAAACGTATACCAACCTCTACCTTGTTCCCCTCATCACACTCTCTCTCTTCTCCACTTGTTTCCCACATGAACTTTTCTCTTTCTTCCTTCACCTCATTTTCCTGTGCTGTCTTTCTCTCCTGGTAATTGTACCCTTTTGTCTTCTCTATTTCTCTGTCTGCAGATGATGCCACACGGGTCATTCTGAAAAGCACAGATGACTACATCAATGCAAATTACATCAATGTGAGTTTGTTCCTCCTCATTTTGCTCTTTTATATATTTCTGCCTTTTGCTCCTTTGAGACATGGTGGGTGGCCTGTTTTGCTAACCTTCAAAAACATACTGGTGAATGAATTAACCTCATAAACTATACAAATGAGTAACATTGTGGGTTAATGTTTTGCATGTTTTTGAGTCAGCCAGGCATCAGCCTTTTTAAGAGAACAGCAGCTTGTGGATGTTTAGAGGGTGTGGTTTCTGAGGCAGACCATACTGTTAGTTAGTTTGTTTGTTGTATGACTTGAAGCTCTTTTCAGACATGTGCAACATGACTGGCTTCAGCTATCTAAATAATGCATCTTGGGGAGTCCAACATAGGTTTCTGTCTGTATAAATGCCCTGTAGAGGCTGTACTGAACCTGGGCAAACCTTCACAAACTGAGTAGCATGCAGCAGCACTGCACTGGAAACAGTGATGTGAGGAAAGAAAAGGATTCTTAATTTTCTAACAGGCTGAATTAAGGATGGATTTATAAGTGTATTTTGCAGTGGAATCACTATTTGTCTCTGTGGTCTAATTAATTATCTTTGTGAGTGTGAAGGACACTTGCCCCTGCTTCTCAGTCGTCTAATCAGCGCTTTAGATCCACTAATAGATTTCCTCATCAGTGTCATTATTAGATTGCATTCTGCTGCCTATTGTCAGTCTGAACAGGCATAGTTACAAATGGCAAGACTTTTATTCAGTGTGTGTTTGCTCTGTATGTGAAGTTTAGTAGGAAATTTATTTTGTAAATGGTTGGCACTGATGAAAGTTGAAGTTCTAATGAAACAGGAAATTTACACCAGTGCTCCTAAGATGCAAAAACGTCTGTTCATTTAACCATGTAGTGCTCTAACGTCATCCAATGTGGACTCGAGTGTTAGGATAATGGTGCTCAGTCTCACTTTCTATAACCTCTGTATCTCAATCTGTCTGCCTCTGTGTAGATGGAGATTCCTGCCTCCAGTCTGATCAACCGCTACATAGCATGCCAGGGCCCGCTGCCCAACACCTGCTCTGACTTTTGGCAAATGACCTGGGAGCAGGGATCATCCATGGTGGTCATGCTGACTACGCAGGTCGAGAGGGGACGGGTATGTGGACGTTTTCTTCAAAGACACGACTGGACACCACATGTGGACTGTGGCATGTTAACAAGGCTGTCTTTGTCAGTGAATTGGTTCTAAACTTTTCAGACACCTTTGCAGTACATGTGGCAGTGCTGGATGCAGCCACACTGTAGTCTGATACGTGTTCATAGAGTGCTCTTGAACTCTGGTTTTCCATTTGCACTAATCTCTAGTTCTGATATTGAATGAGTTTGTTTGGTGACAGAATAATGGCTGCTTATCATGAAATCAAAGTTTTCTGTTCTTAATTTGAGCATTATTAGGAAAATACACAATCTGAATTAAAGTTATTACTGCAAAAACAATGCAACTAAGATATCCTGATCAGTAACACAAAAACATGCAGGGTTTTCTAATTTCCCCAGGAATTAAACAGAAGTGTCTAAAACTGGTTACAGCTAAATTATACTATATAACAAAGTAGGCTGCACAGTGTTGTAAGTGGAATTATGTTTGAATGATGGGTGCTGTGACTGCAATTTACCATGATTCCAGATGTACTGAAAGCTGTAAGTCGGTACTATAGTGTTTACTGTTATAGCAAAGAATAGATAGTTAGCTGAAGAGTAGACCCCGACTCCTGAGCTGAGAATAACAGTTGTAACATGTTAAATAAATTAAATGTACAGTTGTAAAGAGAAACTTTTGTCTGTGCTTATAGGTGAAATGTCACCAGTACTGGCCTAACCCAGACAGCAGCGCCACCTACGGAGGCTTTACAGTTACGTGCCACAACAAAGAGGGCAACTCGGCCTTCCTGGTCCGGGAGATGAGTCTCATGCACACACAGGTAACTGCACACAGAAACACACAGTCACCCACAGACATATGGTGTCAGAAGAGACAAAAAGGACAAGCAGGGATGGATGGAAAGCTGGGACCAAATCAGAGGAAGCAGAGAATGAGTGAGGAAAGAAAGCTAACCAGAGCAGGCTGGAGAGCAGGGCGAAGGCCACACACACACACACACACACACACACACACACACACACACACAGAGAGAGAGAGACTCGTGGCCCAATCACAGGAGGTGTGTTGCTATAGTGACCAGTGTGGGCTGTTCTTTTTCTGGCTCCCGCTGCTGCATGCGGGCCACGTATTGGGATCTGGTTACCATGACAACCCAACCACCCCAGTCAGACACATTGCTGAAATAGAGAGCGAGAGGAAGAGAGGAACAGAGTGGGGAGATGGTAGTTTGAAAAACAGGGATGGAGAATGTAAGTTTCTTTTATTGGGACGCTGAAGCCTTATGATGCTTCCAGTTTTTATTCCACATGGTGAAATACTATTTTCTGTCCTAAACGGAGCGGATACTTGTTTGTGGATGCAAAATTGTACATATACGATTATCTCTTATCATTTTAACTATAATACCTTGCTATAAAACACTGCCATTACAGTATTGAGGACAAATTCTTATTAAAGATGAACTTTTAATGGATGATCATAATCTTTCCTGCTGTGTTTTGCTGATTACTTCTTTGTGTTCTGCCCATGTCAGCATGACTTATAAAGTATGTGGCTGTAGGAGGAGGCAATTAGTATTCTTCTCTGCCTGTGATTGTTGCTATGGAGATAGGGGTGTTACCATGGCAATCCAGAGAGGCAGTATTTAAGAGGAACACAGGGGCTTTGTGTTGGAGTGAACAAAATAAGTGTGACTTGTCTTTTATCATTTGATTGCAGCAAAAACAAATGGACGTTGTTACCATTGGTATTTGGTGTTTCATGGTCCCGCAGCACAGTGGAGTGGAAAGAATAAAACCACTGGTTGTAATTCACACTACCTATTTTATAACATGTAGAAAGGCCAGAATTACACAAACAGTGTGCTGTAGTCTCTCCGTAGGACACCGGAGGTCACCCACGTAAAATACATTAACCTGTTTTCAGTTGAGTATGAGTGAAATCTGTGAATAATTATTTCTGGAGTGAGTGTGAATACCTTCACTTTGTTACCAAGGCTTCAAACTATGGAGTCTTTCCTGAATGAGATGATCCAATTCTGTGGCAGTACATGAAAATATACTGTACATACATTTTTGTTTTCTGCTTTTCTCTTTCTGTGTTCAGAGTGAGCAGCAGAGAGAACTCACTCAGATCCAGTACCTGGCCTGGCCAGACCATGGCGTCCCTGATGACTCCACTGATTTCCTGGACTTTGTGGCTCTGGTACGGAGCAAACGAGCAGGACAGGACCAGCCAGTGGTGGTACACTGCAGGTACAGTTGTTCTGTACATTATGTGAGGTTGTCAGTCTATAATCAGGAGTTTTGTGTGTTTGATAATCAAGTTAGTCAACTTATCTTCTCCAGTCTATATTGCATTTATTTTGTAACAGAACATCCATTTCTGTCCCCGCTCCTTTTTTCCAGTGCGGGAATAGGTCGAACAGGGGTTCTGATCACCATGGAGACGGCGCTGTGTCTAATGGAGTGCAGTCAGCCAGTGTATCCTCTAGATATTGTCAGGACTATGAGAGACCAGAGGGCCATGATGATACAAACACCTGTATGTAGACACATCCATTTGTCTGTCCAGCTGCTCTCAGCCACTTCAAACCACCGCTAACATCTCTTTCTCTGTTTCTCCTTATCAGAGCCAGTACCGCTTTGTGTGTGAGGCTATTTTAAAAGTCTACGAGGAGGGTCTGTTTAAACCACTCAAAACCACTGTGTACCAACAGAGAGAGAAGATGAATGATGAGAGGGATGAGGAGAAGAAAGAGCAGCAGAAAGCAGGAGAAGAGACAGCAGCCACAGAAGAAAGTGAGGCGGTGGTGGAGTTGCTAGAAGGAGGTCTGGATGAGGAGGAGGATGATGATGATGAAGAGGTGGAGGTGTTAGATGTGGGGCAAGTGACAGATGAGGAGGAGGTGGAGGAGCCAAGTGTTGCAAGTGCCACCAGCATGACAAGTGAGACCAGCGCGAGCCCTGACCCTAATCCTGCTAACCTGTGACCTTTGACCTCTGGAGGTCATCAAGCGTTGCCAGGAAGAGGTCAGGTGGCTGGAGGGAAGAACAAAAGCACTGTTGCACTTTATGCTGACAAAAATGGAAAAAGACAAACAAATGAACAAACCTGAAAATCACAGACAAGAGAAGAAGAAGAAAAAATCCAGCCGGGTTGAATCGGTACCATTAGGAGAATCTGAATGTTCAGGAGTATACACAGAATGAAATGATGAGCGTATGAGGGAATAAGATGTGGATGGGGAATTGCTGTAGTGCCATAAGTACAAAGGGGAAGGGCTGTCCCAGTGGATGGAAAGATACCCCTCCCCTGTTTTCCACCCAGAGGGTCGCCCTGTCCCCTTCTGAGTGAGTCTGCCAGACGGACCTGCCTTTTTTTAGTATCCTTTCAGCTAATAAAGAGATATACCTTTATCTTTTGTTCCTCAGAAGAGTATTTATTGTGTTTTAGTTTGTGTCAAACCCTGTCCACTGAACAAAAAATGTTGTTTTGTTTGTATGAGTCTAGAGCTTTGTGCTTTCCTGATTAAATCTTGGGTAGTAAAGTAGTGTGATTCTTCTTCTTCTAACTACTTCGTTTCTTTTTGTGGGGGACAGAAGTGATTTAATTTATTGTACTTGGTTTGATCTCTCTCAGCCTCCTTGTTTTTGACAGCACAGACTGACAGGTGGACAACTGAAAGCACTTCATGTCTCACTTCTTGTTCAATGCTGTGGTGAGTTGGATATGTTATCCTGCTTTGTGCTGTGTTTTTGAGCTTACAGACACATGTTCTGAAGTGGCCATTGTCTGGTGTGGTGAAGATTATAACCTGTTTGCAATCCTCAGGGCCTGTGTTTACTGGGCACCTCCCTTTCCAATTCCATAATCACAGCAGCTCTGTCACTATACACCTCCCAATGCAAGTTTTAATTTTGAGCATTGATTGATTCATCCATCCATCCATTTTCCTCTGCTTATCCGGGACCGGGTCGCAGGGGCAGTCTAAGCAAAGATGCCCAGACTTCCCTCTCTCCAGACACTTCCTCCAGCTCCTCCGGGGGAATGCCGTGGCGTTCCCAGGCCAGCCGAGAGACATAGTCCCTCCAGCGTGTCCTGGGTCTTCCCCGGGGCCTCCTCCCGGTGGGACATGCCTGGAACACCTTCCTAGGAAGGCGCCCAGGAGGCATCTGAAACACATGCCCGAGCCACCTCAGCTGGCTCCTCTCGATGTGGAGGAGCAGCGGTT